GGCCCAGGAAGCAGCACGATTCCCAAGCTCCTGTGTGATTCTGATGTGGGGGTTTGTGAGCTCACCATCCACACCACAGCCTAGGCCCACGGTAAACATGAATGGCTGGCTTTAGGGGATTTACAAACAATAAAGCTGAGGCCCACAAGGGGAGGGACTTGCTCATGGTCTCCGAGGGTTAGTGGCAAGGCCAGGCCCTCCCTCTTCCCAGAGCTGTTTCCCTGCCCAGCCTGCTGGCCGTCATCCACAGCCAGCCCCCTCCATGCCAATTTACATTTTGAGTAGGGACTCAAGATGCCAGTTCTTTAATGAGGTTGTCCACACTACAATTTATGAGGCCCAAAGTCTTCAGCAGGACTGGTCTCTGCCAGGCTTAATTTACACAGTTCACAGGCCTTCTGACACCCCCACTAACGTCAGCAAGGAGCTGCGGCTGTGAGCCTGTGTACTTGACCACATCCTCATGTCTCCATCCATTTTCATGTCCCTGGGCTTGCTTACCCTTGCATGCCTGATTCTCCTAGTCCTAGGAAACATTAGGTTTCCACCGGGCAGATGGGAGCCTGACCCAGCCCCTGGACTCCAGCTCCAGCCCCAGGCCTGACCTCCACGTCCTCTGAACACCAGGCTCCTCCATGCATCATCTCCCCTTGGCTTTAATTTAAGAGCAGGACCCCCTTCTCACCAAAGCAGTACTCTATTTTCCCCCTTTAACGAGTGTCATCAGTTAGGCAAGAGCAAGCAGGTGGGAGATGGCCAGAAAGCTGATACAAGTGTGCCTTTTTTAATGCCACATAAATCACCTTAATTAAAAATTAATTAAATGCCCTAAAATTTGACATTCATTGAAAAAGGAAATTTGAGTTAGGAGAGTTGTGTAAATTTTGTAGCATCAAATCTCCAAGACACGGTTGAAGGAGGGGAAGATGTGTGGGTTTCTGCTGTGAATGCACAACTAGGGAAAAGGAACCGCTCTCAGCGAGTGAACCCAGTAAGTCGCCCATGGTGTAGAACAGCGATTCACATAACCTGACCTAGGCCACGCATGCCTCCAATGCAAATCTGAACTAATTTCTAGTGCATCCGGAGTGAACCCAGTAAGTCGCCCATGGTGTAGAACAGCGATTCACATAACCTGACCTAGGCCACGCGTGCCTCCAATGCAAATCTGAACTAATTTCTAGTGCATCCGGAAAGGTGGCACGCTGTTTAGGAGACAAGTTCTAGGATGCAAATGACAGATGACTGAAACAGGAGATGCCAGTGTGAGGCAAGCTTGCTGGGTGAGCTGCTGAGTGAAGAAACACGGGAGGGCAAAAGTCTTCTGGGGACAGTCATTGACAATGGTCAGCATTCATCAAGTTAGCATTAACTATGTCAAATCAGCCTCATAAACATGTACCTACACAACCATTGCCAGAACCCCAGAACCAGGACATCAGAGCTGGAGGGGTCTTGGAGACAGGTCAACACCGTCTCTGTACCAGAGGGCGATGGAGGCAGTGCAGGTACAGGACCAACCCAAGATACACAGGTGCTCAGCCACAGATCCTCCTGCCCTCCAGGGAAGTGGTACTCAACCGTGTGCTCCTGAAAATCACCCAGAGAACTGTTAAAACCACCAAGGCCAAGAGTCTCCTCCCAAGACACTGATTTCATGGACACAGGTGGAGCCTGACGGCAACAGTATTTCTTACTTCCCAAGTGACTCCCACAGGTAGCCAGAGTGCTACTCCTGGAAGGCGATCTAATCTGAGTCCAGGGAGAGGAACTTCACCTGGGACCATCTGACCAGGTTCTGAGCCCTCACCTGTGGTTTGCTAGCTGTGAGACCTCAGGCAAAGCAGCCAGTAAGTCACTGGTTACATTGTGTAGTGCTTTACTGTTTCAAAAGCATTTCTCTGTACATTGTTTAGGCTCTTAAATCCTCAGTCTTCTGATTAATCAAATGGGAATAATAATAACTATTCTGCCAGCTTTTTATGAGGTTCAAACAAGGAAGGATTAGGAAAGCACATAGTAAGCTGTTAAAATGCCACGCAAAGGTAAGGAATGCCAGCAATTTACTGCCCCCTGCCTGCCCTGGAGACAGGCTACGACCACACAGGGCCTCAGGGTACCCTACTCCATAGGCCAGAACAATCATTTCATAACCACAGAGAGATGCTGTTTAGGAGACTCAGGCCCTTGATTAAAACCATTCACCAAGGAAGGGTACTTTCCTCCTTGGAATTTATGGGCCCCATAAAAAAAAGAACTTGAGAAGACAGAGTGGTTGTTTTTCGTCGTGCCTCATTAGTTTTGAGTTTGGGCTAGCAGTAGAGATCAGAGTACCACGCATCTGTCTAATTGAATCTCTCGTAAGCATCAAGCTCCCTGCGGTAGGAGGAGGCTGGGCCGGGAAGCCTGGCAGTCTCCACCCAGGGGAAGGATGGGGGGGTGTGGAAGCAGTGCTGAAAGACAGTGTCTCTGGGCTTCTGCTGTGCTTTAGCCCAGGAAGAGGGATCCTGGAGATAAAAGCTAGGCATCCAGAGAGTTAAAACAGCACTGCCCTCCACTCCTGGACCCCCTCCTTTGTTGAGGTTTGTGGGTGGAGGGCAAGGATGCCAACTTCCTGCCCTCTGTACCCCCATCAACACTCCAAAAACACCTCTCACTGGACGACCCCCACAGACAGACACAGCACAGAGGAGAGAACAAGGTGCTAACAGTGTGGATTTTCACCAGTCCCTCAGCAAGCCATGCAACCATTCTGAGCCTTGGTGTTCTAGACTCTAAAATGGGCATAATAATACCTTCCTCAGCTAATACACAGGATCAATTCAATTCCCAAATATCGAGGTGGGGGGATCTATACATCAGCACTGCTGTTGACTCTTGAAAATAAGACTTAATACCTCCCTCCAAGTCACTTACAGTTTGGTGAGGAAGACGGGCATACAAACATCTAGTAAAACTATGTGGCAGAATGTCCACTATGGTGAATACTGGAAGTAATGTGCCCAAGTGAAAGAACCATTCATGGAGTGGATGAATGGGGGAGAACCCATGAAAATGTCACAGATGAGGTAGTAAGATCCAGATTCCTGTTGCTGAAAGGTCAGTTGATGGGAGGCACTCCCAGAAAACAAGGACAACCCAAAGACTCCAAAGGGTGACCCACACACTATCTACCACATGCAACAAACTCTCCAAGCATCAGAGAAAAAGAAGAAAGCACCAAGGGAAATATGGATAGGTTTGGATTACATACAAATTTAAATATATATCAAAATACATTATAAACAGAATGAAAATATACATAAGATACTGGGGAAATTGTCACACACATAATAAATAGTTCCACATCCTTGTTAATAATCTCATGCAACTCAGTCTGAAAACATAAAGAACCTGATAGATAAATTGGAAAAGGAAGTGGGCAATTCTCTAAAAACCAAAGTTGAAAAAAAAAAAATGGCTAGTAATATTTAAAAAAAAAAATTCAACCTCGTATCAGAGAAATTGAAAATAAAACAGCAGGGAGATACCTTTAGTTAAAAATAAAATTTGTGCTAATACTCAGGGCTGGCCGGGATGTGGTGGGACAGACATGCGTGTATGGACACAGCTGGTGAAGAGTGTAAATTGGATTAACTTCTAGAAAGCAATTTGGCAATATGTATCAAAAGCCTTTAAAATGTTTATACCTTTTTATTCAGTAATTCCACTTCTGGGAATCTATCCTATGAAAATAATCTGAAATACAGGCAAAGGTTTATGCTCAAAGATATTCTTCAAAGTGTTATTACAAACAGACTAGCAGTCCAATCACTGAAGAATGTTTAAATAAATGATGGTACATATCACACAGTATTGTAGCCATTAAAATGTATTCTTATGAGAAATTTTAAAGCCTTTGGAAAAGCTTGCAATGGTGGGATGGCGGTAGGAGCCTGTTGAGGCACCAGCGACAGCAGAGATGGATCTAGGAAACAAGGCAGAGGGCAAGGCAGCCACTCTTGGGGGGTCAACTCTGGTGGGCCCTGCCTGCTTATCTCCACAGGGGCCAGAGGCTCCCCTCACCCCACACCAATCAAGAGCTGAGTAGCAGGAGGCACCAACCAGGCCCTTGATAGATGGTCCCCAGGCGAGCATCCGTTCAGTAGGATGGGGGCTTCACCAGGCCAGCCTTCCCCTCTCTGTAGCCTGGATCTCTGCGGTCTGCAGAGCCAATTAATTATCATAATGCATTGTTCTTAATACAGAAGCTAATAACTGCTAATACGTTCATTATAAACTGCCTCCTCTCCCTCTCCCCACTGGATAATATAGTTTATCTAATAATTTCAGAACTGGAGCAAACCTTAGAGATATAGTCAAAATCCCTTCTTTTATAGAAGGGGAGACAGGGCCAGACAGAGAAGGAATGTGATTAGCCTCACACGGCCAGATATGGAGGTCCAGAGCCAGGGCCCAGGGCCTGGGCTTATCGTGTTTCACAAAAGAAAATGTTGCATGTTTCTAGAATCCACTTAATAAGTCACTTTAATGGTGGAATCTGGGGTCAAGAACAGAGACAATGCACTGGATCAGGTATGCCTCCTTGTACCCCAAATTCAACCTTGAAGGTAGAGCTGTGTATGTGCAGGTGAGATTCCACCTGGCATGTTAAAGCCATGGGTCTGAGGACTCCAGAGTGTTTGGGGAATGTGGGTCGAATTTCGGCCACCCTGCTACACACCATCGCTAAAAAGAGAGACCCCAACAGGCGTTTTGAGTGTGTGTGTGTGTGTGTGTGTGTGTGCGCGCGCGCGTGCCTTTGACTTCCTCTCAGCTTCCTGGGGTTGGCCCTGGGTGTAGGCAGATTGAGATGTGGGTGTCTCAGTCAGGCCTTGGCATGTGAATGGCAGATTAGGGTGACCATGTCCCAGCAGCCTTTCCATAGGGCCAGACAATCAGGCCAGCCAGTGCCTGGGGCCACCCAACTGACCAGAGACATGTGTCTGTGTGCTCTCCAGGAACATCCCCTGGCTTCAAGATGGCCCTGCAGAGTTCCTTCACTTGTTGGAACGGGACAGTCCTCCAGCTCGGGCAGGCCTGCGACTTCCACCGGGACTGTGCCCAGGGAGAAGACGAGGGCCAACTATGCAGTGAGTAAAGGGGGGCTGCCCCCACCCGCCCCAGCCCAGCCCACGCACATATCCCCTCCACCCCCAGCACCCCGGGCTTGCAGGCCTGGACAGCCTTCCTGACATCCAGCGACACTTGTGACTCCTCTTGCGGCAACTGAAGAAAGCCACACTGTCTTCGAGAGGCAGAGCTAAGATTTGTGGTCCAGAAACAGCATGGTCCTCCATGGTCTGTGCTCACATAAGTTAAGAACCAAACAAGATCTTGTAGTTACTCTCTCAGCATCCTCAAGGCACAGAGGAAATGTGCAGGGTAAAGCCCAGCTCTATAACATGACACTAGCAGCCCTCTGTGCCCAGACTTCCCTCACTTTCCAAGTCCTGTCATCCTCCTGCCTCTCTCATCCTCCCCATCTTCATAACCCCAACCCCAGCCTATCAAACCACCTCTCAGCTCCCTCATGCTTCCAGGGCTTTGCTCGGATGCCCTTCCTTTCTCAAGCCAATCTACTCCAAGACACCTCAAGAGTCTGTTCTTCAAGGAGCCTCCTCTGACCATCCCCACAAGGACACTTGGTTCTTGTTCCTCTGGACCCTTCCCCCCAACTCAGGCTATCCACTGATATCATCATGTCCATGGCATTTTTTGAGATGTAATTCATATACCACACACTCACCTGCCTAAATTGTACAATTCAGTGTATTTTAGTATAGTCACGGTGTTGTTCACCCATCACCATAATCTAATTTTTAAACATTTTTAT